TGGGTAATGCATTAAGAGCCTAGTAAATAAATTACTGAGAGAGCTCTTAAGGGCACCAAAGAAAACTGGCAAATATCCTTCAGAATTTATTTTCAAACTTATAATAAAATGTTTCCCCAATAGCTTCCTCCAGCTGCCTAATCCTACAAACTGAAAGACCAAAATGGCAGCACAGATACTCTCTACCCCCAGAATGGGCTTGGGGAAAAGAATCCAGCAATGAGTTTCTTCCATTAAAAAGGTGATGGGCTCTGTACACACTCCTCAAAAAAAGCTCACAATTCAACCGGGCAGGAGAGGAGGGTGCAGCCATATGAGACACACTGTAGTGTGTGTGTGTGTGTGTGTGTGTGTGTGTGTGTGTGTGTGTGTGTGCAGAGTGATGGGGAGGGGGGGAGAGAGAGAGAGAGAGGAGGAGGAGGAGGAGGAGGAAGAAGAGGGCAGAAATTACTTTGCCACTCCAGTAATTGTGTCATGGATACCTACTAGATATTCCCTCTGACACTTGTAGAACCCTCGTTAGCTATAGATATACAGATTTTGTGAGCTGCCTGAGGGGGAATCCTTGGATCAGAAAGATAGGATATTAATTAACTAAGCAGAAGGAGCTGTCTTATATAGAGTCAGACCAATTATTCATCTAACCCAGATCTGTCTAGCTTGATTGGCAGCAGCCTTTTGGGGTCTCGAGCAGAGCTGTTTCTCAGGCACAGTACCTGAAAACCTTTCACTGAAGGTGCCACGAATTGATTTGGGGACTTTATATATGCAAACCCATCTCTGCCCCTGAGCTACATCCTTTCTCTCTGCCATGCTACAGTCAGAGTAGCAACAGGTGTACCACCTGGAGAAAAAGATGGCACTTTCTAAAAAAGAATGTTCTCCAGCGACACCACATCCTTGGCGATTCTCACGACCACTGTTGTTTGCTAGTCTCCAGCAAGTCAGTTCAAAAACTTTGGTCCAAAACCAGAAAAATAATTACTGCCATCCGGGGAATGGACAGCCAGATTCACACGGTATATGCTCTCTCCTTACTTCTGAATAGGTGACTGTGTAAGACTGCAGGCACACAACCAAGAAATAGCAGCCCAGCCCTTTGGATCAGCCTCCTCCATGAAACCAGAGAGATCCCTGCTTTTTAAGCCTTCTGGAGGACCTCTCTCTTCCCGCAAGCATCAGGGGTGGGTTCTACTTACCTCTGCTATCGGTTCGCAACGGGAGTACGCAGAAGCTTCTGCACATGCGCAGATCGTTCATGATGACATCTGGGCGGGTGGGCGGAGCCTCCCGCTGCCATTACTACCAGTTCGCAGGAACCGGACCGAACTGGGAGCAACCCACCACTGCCAAGCATGTGGGGAGAAGCTGTGGGGATGTTTGGTCTGGCACCTGGGGAAGGGAAGGAAGGGTACTTTTGTTTTTAATTAAAGTTTTATGGATTGCTGTGAGCCAACTAGGGTCATTATATAAAATAGGCAAGCCATAGAATTTCTATTTTTCGTAAGTCACCTAAAGTCACTGAAAGTGAGTGGATAGCCATATAAATTATTTAAATAAATAAAAATTAAACAGAAAACAACTATCAAAGGATGCCCTCCGTCACCACCTTGAAAGCTGGTCTTGTTTTCCTCACTGAAACAATTGCATTCAAAAACAGCAAACATGTTTATTTATTTATTAGTCCAATTTATATGCCGCCCTTCTCCGTAGACTCAGGGCGGCTTACAATGCATTATAGCAATAGCCTGCATACTTTTTTTTTGTATATACCTGCTTATTAGGGCTTTCGGCTCCCCCAAGCGGTGTTGTTCTATACAAAGCTGGCTTATTGCCCCCACAATCCAGGTCCTCAATTTACCTACCTCAAAAGGATGGAAGGCTGAGTCAACCTTGAGCCTGGTGAGATTCGAACTTACAGTAATTGCAGGCAGTTGGCAGCTAAGTGCCAGCACTTAACAGCACTTTAGTCCGCTGCACCACTGAACATCATTCCCAAGTTATAACCACACATTACGGTACACATTGTAACCTGCTTCTGAACACGAATGCAGTCAATTCAGAATGGTTGTCCAGCTTTCTGAAGTGATTTTGAATGTTTTTTGTCTCGCTCAAGGCTTGAGACTTCATGTGCAGGTGTCATGGCATCTGGCCACCTTTTATTCTTTACATCTTTTTGCCAGTTCTTGTCCTCTTCTTGATATAAGTGTGATACAAGTTGCTAACCTTCTAGTGCAGGGGTCAGCAACCTGCGGCTCTGGAGTCGCATGTGGCTCTTTCACCCCTCTGCTGCGGCTCCGTCATTCAAAATGTGTCACAACCACCAATGTGTAACACCCGCCGGCACACAATTTATTGAGCTTTTCAACCCCCGGTAGGCCAACCATGGATAAATCCCAGAAAAGAAAAGTTTCAGAAGAAAACAGAACATTTAATTCAACTACATATGCTAGTTTTGTGGCCGCTCAAGAAATAGTCGGGCACAGGAATGGTTTTGTGGCTCCCGGTGTTTTCTTTTCTGTGGGAAACTGGTCCAAATGGCTCTTTGAATGTTTAAAGTTGCAGACTTCTGTCCTAGTGGAACTCTTCCCTCAACCACACATACCAGCAATCCGGTTCAGTCAGGGAGATTTATGCAAGCATTCAAGCCTTCAATAAAATAGCTTTATTAGTTCAGAACTAAAGCATGTCAGATTAATATCCAAATACAGTCAGAATATACATTGCTTTTGGTGTCTCATGAATATGCATTGCTTTTGGTGTCTCATGAATATTTAGCGTCATCTCCATTTTGGTGCAGTTGGATATGTGTGCAGGTAGTACTCGATTTATGACCAGCCACTTAGCAACCATTCAAAGTTCTGATAAACCTACCTGGGGGGTTACTTACGACCCAGATTCAAAGTTCCAACTTTAGGTCCTTCATGGGATCACATGACTGATTTCAGGTAGCAACCAGGCTACATCTACAGCTGTTTGCAGCATCTTGCGGTCACATGATCATGTTTTACAATAGTTTAGCATAAAACTGACATTTATTTCTGGTGTTTGGCAAAACCACACTCATAGTGAATCACTGGTTCATTTAGCAATGACCACTACAAAGGTCATCCCATAATTGACCCCATTTTATGACCGTCATGAGTTACAACCATGATGGGCAGGCTCTTCTATGGTCATGAACTCAAGGTTTACCTCTAAATGCCTTTTTAAAACACAACTGGGATTGGAAGCAGATTAATGAGGGTGGGTTATTTATTGGTACCACCAAGTATCCACATTCTGGCCTGTCTCAGATTAAGAAATATTAGCAGGGCTACAATCTTACCTTTTTTTTTTTGTTTCCCCTGAATGATAATGGTAGAAAAATAGATATATATGTTGATTGTCACAGAAATGAATAAGCTTCATATGCACATCCCTTGCACTGATGTGGGCCTAAGGCTAACTAACTTTAACCTGTTCTGAGTGTTTGTTTTTTAAGCTCAGCGCTGATGCTGGGAAATGAACAATTCTGAATGAGGGTAGCTGACTAAGGAAAAGTAAGTCAAAATATCAAACAAATAACAGCATTGTCCTAAAAGATATGAAAGTCCCCATCGCTTGCATTCTGAAACTTGTTTTACGCTAATCCACAAAACGTAACACTTTAGCTCTGGAAAATTTCCAAGGGCACCATGAATAGAATCCTTCCTATCTTCTGATGCCAGATCAGACAGCGTCCTACTTAGAGAAAGGCAATTCCTCATATTAGGCTGGATGGACTGGGAACATCACTATTTCTATGTCTTTGCCATTGGCATCCTTCAGTCTCAAGAGACTATGGTATCGTGCTCTGGAAAGAGGTCCTAAAACAGCATCTAGTGTGACTAAAAAGGCCAATTCGAGAGTGGCAGTCCCTTCCACAGAGGGCAGATACATTCTGTCAGATGTCTTTGCCATGTTCTAGTAACCCCCTAATTAAATGCTTCTGATACTGCTTTTAAAGAGGCCTTCTCTCATTCTCTATGTCTTGGCCATTGGCCTATTCTTATTCTACCAGTATCTTGGCTAAGGGGATCAGGCAGACAGTGATGTATTCTATCCATTTACTCCGGATGAAATGAATAAGATAAATCCATTTCACTCTGGTGTTCATGATGCAGATTGTTCCAATTGCCCTTGGAAGACAGACCTATATTGAGGGACAAGAAGATCTGCTAAGCATTTTCTAATGGACAGTGGCTAAAGCATCTTTCTGAGCTGGTTGGGAGCAATAGGTTTTGCAGAAGCCCCTCTTCTACCTTGTAGGAAAATGGTCCAGCAGAAAGAGATCCTGGAAAACTACTGGCCTTCCCAATTGTACTACAGGCCTCTACCTCCTCCTTTTGCATTTGTGCAAAATGTTTCGAGAAAAAAAAACCATTAAGAGGAGTAGAAAGATGGACCCATTTAAATGCCATGACAGTGTTTTTCCTCTCCCAGTACATCAGGCATGAGAGCATCACTCATCAGAGGCTGCTTCTAAATCAGATGAGTGACAAACTGAAGTAGTGTCACTTTGTTTTTAATACAGAGATGAGAGAGATGTACACACACAGGACACACATACACACAATATGAATAGACAAGACAGATGATCAATAGATCGATTGATGGATGGATAGATATTGCTCTAAAGGAAAGATTTGATGAATTGAAGTAGGAATGGTAGGTATAACCCCTTCTGGCTCCCTTATATATTTGCAATTTAAAAGTAACCCTGGAAACATTACTTTTAGATATCTAGGTAACTGGCATATCCGCAAATAGACTCTTTTCTAGCTTTGACAGTTGTATCAGATGAACTCTTTTCCAACGGTGACAAACTCAGTTATTTTCGCACAGGTTCCAATATATAGTAGTAAAATGGTATCAATGGGCACCAATATACCAGGGGATACTTTTATTGGTGTCTAGCAACCTCCCCCCCCCCCCCATCCATTGATATTATACATAAAGGAATGATGTACAACAAAATATCAGATTCTAGTTTCACATTTATTTCCAAAAAAAGAAGAATATTTCTGAAAAAGGTCCTAGGTATTCTTAGAAAATGATGAAGGATCAGCATCATTTTTTTGGAAACACTCCTAACTCACCAGAAAAAAAGACTGAGCAATGTTGGAATGCTGGGCGCGAAGTATTATAAAATAATCTCACCAGTGTGTCTCCTAGTAAACGGATGTTTTGTGACTACAAGGCCCACCAGGGTAGGCATTCACAAGTAGGCAAGTCCCATTATGGCATCCATTCAGTGAAAGTGCTATAACGTTTCCAAATGCTGCTCATCTAGCAATTTTCACACTTAGCTTCTGCAGTATGCTATACAGAGAAGAGTCCTTGAAACTATTTCAAAAAATTCCACTGATTCAGAATATGGCAGCCAGACTTTTAGCAGAAATAGGCCAAATACGATTTGCCCTGGCTACATTAGCTGAAGGTTGATGACTTTAACCTTTTAAGATTGAAGTTGCCAGAGTTGTAAAAATGGGGTGAACGATCTTCTCTCCTCTGTTGTTTTGGAATAGAATATTTATCAACCACAACCAATAATGCCTTCTCCTCCATTTTTTTCATGCCACAACCATTGAATGGAAACTTGCAGGTATCTTTGTGTAGGCCTAAAACATTTTCAGAGTTGGTTCTAGTACAGGTAATCCTCGACTTACAACAGTTCATTTAGTGACCATTAGAAGTTACAACACCAAAAAAAAGTGATTTGGGACCATTTTTCACACTTATGACGGTTACAGCACAAAGTCAGACACTTGGCAACTGATTCATATTTATGACGGTTGCAGTATCTTGGGGTCATGTGATCACCTTTTGTGACCTTCTGACAAGCAAAGTCAATGGGGAAGCCAGATTCACTTAACAACTGTTACTAACTTAACAACTGCAATGATTCAATTAACAAATTGTGGCAAAAAAGATCATAAAATGGGGCAAAACTGACTTAACAAATTTCTTACTTAGCAACAGAAATATTGGGCTCAATTGTGGTCGTAAGTCGAGGACTACCTATATATAAAATTTACTCCCAAGGAAGAGTCAGCCCAGTCCAGTGAAATCCTACTTTATGTACCTCATAAAACATTTTGAACCATGTTTCCATCATTTCTATTTTTAATCTACTTTACATTTTATCACTCAGTTGCCAGTTGGCTTATTTAGTTTTTAAGACATTTATTGGATTTAATGTTGCACAGAAATTTATTTAATTTTATCGTTGGAATTACTGTATGGCTTTATTTTGTTTAAGAAAAACCACAGCCTGCTCTTAATAGAAAGGCAGCAACACAATTTCCATATAAATAAATAAAAAGTTTGGCTGGGATCTACTGGTGCAAATCCAGTTGCTAGGATTTTAAAATTTATTTTGGAAGGGCCCAGGCAGAAAGTCAGTCATGAAAAATTGGCACTTCTATTCTTCTGACACAAGTCTTGTTAAATCAATGCCTCCCTACATTTCTGTAGTATACAAACCTTGTCACACTTGCAATCAAGACAGATCAAAGAACAATATCTGGAAAAATTCACAGCACTCAAAAGGCCATTAAATTCATCTCTGGGGGACAATTCATGGGGAGGTGGCTTGTCTTATAAAGCTCAAAACAAGATTGGGGGCTAAGGCACAACCTGCAGCATTCATTACCAAGCAGTGATCTAACACGGCATCAGATTTTTTGACACCCCAACATTAGTTGCCAAAACCCAGGGGAACCGAGTCACAAGGGATTCCCTGGGACTGTTGGCAAACAATAATCCCTTTCAATTTACTTCTGGGGTTTTGCAGACACTCCCTGATTTTCTCTATCATAATTATCAGTCAGGGAGGAGGGAAGTGGTGAGAGTCCATTTCCACCAGGGCCAAACAACCCTGGAAAATTATGACTGGCAAGGGCAACCTAAGGTGCTATAGGTTAGACGCGGTACTCCATCCTGCCAATTCTTCATCCAAGATCTTTTCATAAATGCTTCTTGGTCTGCAATGCTTAGTGACTGATGTTCTAATTGTCTATTTAAAAATCACTGAGCTTTTTAAAATACCCTGCAAAAAAATAGAGTTTTGTTTCTATATATAAAAAATATAGATATAAATATAGATAGGCATTTGTTGAGAATTAAAAGCACCTCAGTTATTTTCATAGTTCCCAAATGTAATGTTCTCACAGTATTGTCTCATCCCTTTGCTCACAGCGCCTTGCTCCATCTGTTAGGTACACCAATTCTGCATTCTGTTCTCCATCATCCACAACTCCCCACTTTCCCCATGCCTGGTTTATAAAGAGGTGGCTTCGTTGTTCAGCAAGCCATTGGCAGCTGCATTGTCCTGGAATTTCATATGAGCATCATCTTTGGCCATTTGCTTCCGGATCAGTTTGTAGCGGTAGTAGAAGAGGTAGCAGGGGAGCAGGAAGCCCATAAATGAGAAGATAAGGAGGGCAAGATTCACCTATGAATAAAGCAAGGAACATCATACGAATTATGTCCATTTATGATCAGTGATAGTAGCTGGTACGAAATTGCTAGTTTTGTTTCTGGACTAGCTTCTTCAAAGAAGACTGCTTTGATTGCATCAAAGCCCTAATTTTATTTATTTATTTTTCGTACTGCTATGCCGCCCAATTCTCCGAGGACTCTGGGCAACTTACAACAAAGACAATATAAACAATATACAATAAGAGACATTAAAAAAAACCCATATACACCGCTCATGGCTGGATCTCGCAAGATTGCAGTGGCAAGATCAACGGCCTCAAGCATGCTGGAAAAGTCAGGTTTTCGCCATTCTCCGGAAGGCCAGTAGGGTGGGAGCGGTCCGGGCCTCAGGAGGTAGCTGATTCCAGAGAGCCGGGGCAGCCACAGAGAAGGCCCTCCCCCGCGGACCCGCCAGCCAACATTGTTTAGCTGATGGGACCCAGAGGAGGCCAACTCTGTGGGATCTTACTGGTCGTTGGGAGCTATGCAGTAGAAGACGGTCTCGAAGATAGCCTGGCCCTAAGCCATATAGGGCTTTAAAGGTAATAACCAACACCTTGAATTGTGACCGGAGACCGATAGGAAGCCAGTGCAGCTCACGGAGGATTGGTGTAATGTGGGAGTACCTAGATGCACCCACGACCGCTCGAGTGGCTGCATTCTGGACCAATGTAGTCTCCGAACACTTTTCAGGGGTAGCCCCATGTAGAGTGTGTTGCAAAAATCCAACCATGAGGTGACAAGGGCATGAGTGACTGTGAGAAGAGCCTCCCGATTCAGGTAGGGTCGCAATTGGTGTACAAGGCGAACCTGTACAAAGGTCCCCCTAGCCACAGCTGCCAGGTGTTGCTCTAATCTCAGCTGTGGGTCAAGGAGGACACCCAAATTGCGAACCCGTTCTGAGGGGGACAGCTTCTCCCTTCCCAGGGCTAAGGATGGACAGTTGACATGGTCCTTGGGAGGCAATACCCACAGCCACTCGGTCTTGTCTGGGTTAAGTCTGAGCCTGTTGACTCCCATCCAGATTCTCACAGCCTCCAGGCACTGGCACATAACATTTAGTGACCCCCATCACGGGCTCGCCAGAGATCGTCCATCAGAGTGACCAAAGCAGTTTCCGTGCTGTAGCCAGGTCTGAAGCCAGATTGAAAAGGGTCCAGATAATCTGTTTCATCCAATGTCCATAGGAGCTGAAGTGCCACCACTTTCTCTACAACCTTCCCCACAAAGGGTAAATTGGAGACTGGACGAAAGTTCTTTAATTCTGCTGGGTCCAAGGAAGGCTTCTTGAGGAGGGGCCTTACGACCGCTTCCTTTAATGGTTGTGGAAAAGACCCCTCCCTTAAGGAAGCATTAACTAAAGTCAGGAGCCAGCCTCGTGTCATCTCCCTGCTGGCTAAAACCAGCCAGGAGGGGCACGGGTCCAACAAACAAGTGAAGGAACTCATCGCACCCACAGCCTTGTCCACTTCCTCAGGAGTCACAGGCTCAAACTCATCCCACACAATATGACTAAGACCTGCCCTGGTCATCTCGGTCGGAATTGCCCAATCAGAGTCCAGGTCCATCTGAATCTGAGCAACTTTATCCAACAGAAACTGCACAAATTCCTCAGCTCTACCCTGTAAGGGCTCCTCGGCTCCCCCTACATTAAGGAGAGAGCGAGTTACTCTAAACAGTGTGGCTGGGTGAGAATCAGCGGATGCAATAAGTGCGGAAAAATGCGAACATTTTGCCGACCGTATCGCCACTAAATAAGTCCTAATAAAGGACTCTTAAGAGTGTTCAGTCAGATTCAGATTTTGATATTCTTTCTAATATTCTTTAATTCAAAATGGGATCGCACACATTTATTTATTTTAGATAATTATCTACCTACAATAGATAATTACACTACATACTCATATGAATTGTTCTTCCTATCCTGCAACAACTGCCCAGAGAAAAAGTCAGATAACAAAGCCAGTCAAAGAATTTTTTTGGAGCTTATGTGACATCACCAATATCTCTCTTTTCCAAATCTGTAAAGCACTTTTTAAAACCCCTTTTTAAAAAGTGGCTGATATGGAGTGAGAATTGAAAATTAGACATAGGATGTATGTGGGTTCCAGTACAACAGCTTTGGGGAAAACAAGGTAAGGGATACGCTGATACACAAAGTACAGAATAAGAAAACTGAGAACCCAAACATATTGTTAGTATGGGAAGAAGCATATCAGCTTGGCACTGAGCTTGCTGGAGTGTTTGTTAGTAAACCTAAATAATGAAATGGATTTCACACTGGATGTTAAAAAACACCACGTTCCTTCTTCAAGAAACTCCTATCTTCATTCAAACAGCTGAAACTCACCCAGAAGGGATCCCCGTGTAATGGCCCCACCATAGTCATGAAAAGTGGCTGTTGGAGGAGAGCAAATACGGCACTGATCAAAGACTGGAGTCCGGTCAATGTACCAAAGTGATTGGAAGGATACCTGGTGATCAAACATAATATGAAGAAAATGACTCTCAAAAAGCCAGAGAGGCTATTGACAACCCTTACCCCAACATCTACACAGAAATATCCATTCTTAACAACCACAAGTTTCTACTTTGTTTAGAGAAATGGAAATCTATTAATTGTTCAGGGTTGGGGAGCCTGTGGTCCTCTAGAAACTGCTAAACTGCAACTCTCTGCAGCCCAGTCAATATGTCTAATGATGGAGAACGTTGGGAACGATAGTTCAACAACCTCTAGAAGGCCATAGGTTCCCCACCCTGCTGAAAAGCTGTCCAATCTATCAATATTATAAAGATTTAGAAGCCTCAATGGATTAAACGTGTATTTAGGTCTAAGAAAATGCTAATGGAAAATGTAAGAAGAAGATAAACTGCCACTCTTGTTTAAAAACCATGAACGGTATTTAGACTCAGTAATTGGAAAAGAAATTTAACCGATGCTTGTCTTCTACTTCATCCTCTTCCATTCTTAGGTTTGTTCCCTTGGGGAAAAGAAGACAATAAGCAAGAAAAGAAAGCCAAACTCACACAGCTTTCTTCTTCTTGGACAGACTACACTGCTCAGACTAGAAGGACTACCCCATTTTAACCTGAGTAGCAGACCATTCCACCAAACTAGGCCAATCCCCTTGCACCTATTCTTAAGTGCAAAAGATTCACCCCAGTGGCATAACTTACACAGCAGCATAGAGACTTCCACAGGCAGAATGGAAAAAGCCGCGCACCATGGTGTGAAGAATGAAGGTCACAAACTGTAGGGGAAAAGACACAAAGAAAGGAGGAGGAAATCAACAGGAGTCATTAAATGAAAAACAAGTTAAAGAGCTGGTGAGGGAAGGGAAACTGCACTGAGGCAACAGAAGAACTTTATCAAAGGGAGGGAATATCAAGGAAAATCAGAGAGGAATGAAGAACACAATAGAAGTTACCTGCAGAGGAAGGTTGTTGATCAAACAGGTGACACCAAATCCAACCAACAGAAGGTTGGTGGTGACAAAAGCTCGGATAGCATTGGTGAGCTTCTGGATCTTAAGGTAGCGGACTTTAGGTGGAATTCCTTTCACCTCAGGACTAGGAAGATAAAGGAAAGTTATCACTGGTCCTTCTGTTAAGCGCCCCAGTATATCTACCCTCAAGCATGGGTTGCCTTCTACAGTTGCTGTTTTGACATTTGGAAATTATCAGAAGTCTCACTTGATAGATCCAGCACGGTTTATATTTCCTGGTGCATCCACACAATCCTTTATGTGCCAGTCCATCACATAGCCAATGAAGGGACAAGTGAGAAGACATAACAATTGCATGACACCAAAGATGGAAGAGTAGAAACTGACTGTCCAACAAAAAAGAAAGGAGAGAGGGAATGAGAATATAATCCGAAGAACCAGGAGAAATGTTCCTTCTCTAACCCAAATAAATCATTTTGGAGCCCTAAGGCATATTATTCTAAGTTCGGGGGGGAGGCCAGGGGGGATGGGATAGAAGTATAAAATCACATCATAACAGAAATGAAAACTTCTTTCAGAACAGCAGAAATTCTCTGGATCAACCTGCTGATCATGATTTTATGTCTTGCACTTCCCATTCCATTACAGGAAGCTCCTGTTAACATTCACAGTTGTAATGATGGTTCTTTCAGCACTTTGATTTCACTAATGTGAAAAATCATCCCCTTACATATACCCAGTAATCAGAGAACACAAAGGGGGCAGGTGTTTGGCAGTGCTTGAGCTCACAGCCATGGCTAGAATTTTTTGAAGTACATGGGAAATATTTGAAAGGTTTGCTTCCTAGGAAATGGAAGATTTCACCTTAAAGCTTAGACAGAGAACTGAATGTAGAAGTCCTTTATCAGATTACATTACACATATACTTTGTGAGACCTATTTTAGCCCCAGGCAATTAAGGCTCCTGCCTGTTTTCTCGGCTTTATCCTCCAATTCTTTTGGCACTGGAATAAAAAGGAAAGAAAGAAAAAGCCCACATCAGATTAACCAGATTTTCTTTTCAGGATAGAACTTTCAACTAGAAGTTCACTAAGCAGGAAGAAATGTCCTTCCTCCCATTGCTTCCCTTTTCTCCTGCATTGCTTCCAGAGACACCCTTTCCCATTGAGCTCACCCAGGTCCACGCCACCCGTCACTTGGAACTCCAGCATCTTGTTCATGGCTGCCATATAGAAGATGATTCGCAACTGGGTGATTCCCATTATGATGAGGCTCCACAGAAAGATGGGAGAACAGACACTGTGGCAGAAGGGGATGGAGCCTACACCCAGAAGGAATACATTGCGGTGATTAGAATGATTTTCGGACAAACAAATCAATATCCTTTCCATTTATGCTTTACTTACTAGGAAGGAATTGGATTGTGTCTCAAACAAGACTGGATTCTCCATAAGGTGCTTTATGACTATGGCCTCCTAGAAAAAGTAAGCTGTCCCAGCCAATCTGTCTGGCATCAGATCCAGAAAGACTGGTCTAAACCAGGGCTTTCCAACCTTGGCAACTTTAAGCCTGGCAGACTTCAACTCCCAGAATTCCTCATTCCCCAGCAAAGCTGGCTGAGGAATTCTGAGAGTTGAAGTCCGCCAAGCTTAAAGTTGCCAAGGTTGGAGATCCCTGGTCTAAACAATCCTTTCTTAGCACTCTGCTTTTCAACAAGGTCGGTAATAAAGATTCACCTCAGAGTCAGAGATTATGATCTCTTAGGAAGAGATCTGGTGATTTCAGCTGGACAGACTATGCAGTACTTCAGGAGACTTTAACAGAAAGGCAGTGATGCTTAAGGCAGGGGGGTTCTCACTGAACAACTCCCGTTTAGTAACCATTCAAGTCATAATGGCACAGAAAATATTACTTTTCGATTAGTCTTTGCACCTGTGACAATTGCAGCGTCCCTCTGATCACGTGATTAACGTGATCACAGGGACGCTGCAACATGGGGTACTTCATAACCAGAGGGCATTTGCAACCAATGGAATATCCCATGGTCACATGATCACCATCAGCACACTTCACAACCAGCTTCTGATAAGCACAGTCAATGGAGAAGCCAGCAGTACAATTGTAGTTGGGATCACATGATGATTTGCTTAATGATTGTGTTGTTTAGAGAAGAAGTTGCCAGTCCCAACTGTGGTTATTAAGCGAGGACTACCTACAAGGAGAGAGGATTTTTGTTTAACAGTATTTGTATCTTAATCAATTAAATAAATGTTTTCTGTTATTTGTAAACCTGGATTGAATTCAAGGTCCATAAAGGTACTGGCCACATTACTTATTTGTTTACAAATTTCACTATTTCCCTGGCTGATGTTCTAACTCAGGGTGTCAAACTGGTGGCCCGTGGGCCAGATGTGTCATGTGCAGGCCACATCCACCCCAGCTCCGCGAATGGGAAAAAGGCCCCAAACGTCATGTGATGGCAACGTGACGCTGCAAGTTTCACACCCGTGTTCTAACCTATACTGCTATAGGATTGCTAGAAACCTAGAGAGAAAAGACTGTGTTCCAGTAAGAGAACAATGCAGAGTTAATTCAACTACAACACCGCTTTATTTATTTGTTTGTTTGTTTGTTTGTTAAATTTATTTATTATATTTATTAAATTTTTATAAACAAATTTTTGTAGTTGTTGTTGGTTTGCTTGTTTGCTTTTCTGTATAGTCCAAAGAACAGTAGTTGGACTGGTGATCCCCATCATTCCTATTTCTATCCTGAATTTTGTTTTGGTTTTTTTTCCACTCACCGCTGCCTAGGAGGAGGTGTTTCCCTCCAAAATTAGGACTAAAGCCATCAAACAAAAATGCTGGGGCCATCTCCTGCCAACAGATGGAGCCAGATGCCAGGGTCTGTCCTCAGCTGTGGCAGCCACAGCTAACAACTCCCCCTGATGCAACAAGCCCAAAGTTGGAGAGGGAAGGAACAGCTGGGAGGGAAGATACATCTTAGTGCCAAATCTACAAACTATAGAAGTTCCCACTTCTTAGGAAGGCTGGTACCAGCCCCAAAACCCCCTGCAGCCTTGCACATCAGGCACATGACAAATCAAACTGTAAGCTTTATGAAAAAGGCCCCTTGCCCACATCCTCTCCCCGCCCAGCTTCTCTCACTGAACTGAGGGATGGTGAAGCAAGAGGAGCACTCACGCTGGGCAGATTTGGTGGGTCCTTGGCAGAGGTCCTGCACTGATGGGTAGAGTGCCTCTTTGCCCCCCTTCAGCTGTGGCTCCCTCTGACTTAGCCGCTGCCCCACAGCCGTCACATGCATGTAGAATCGGTCACCAGTCACCTTGTGATCTAGAGCTAGGCTGCTCAGTTTGATCTTCTTCCTGTTTCAGGGATAAAGGATCGAGGAAGAGGAGGAAGAGAGATAGAGTTGGGCTCACACACTGAACAAAGCCCTTACACAGACTCTTTGGCTTTTGGTAGTCTCTCAAGTGAACCCAGCCTTCATGAGTTATAGTGACCATCTTTTATTGAGAAAAATAGAGGACAAACACGAAAAGGGAGCAAATCTGAAAGAGGTCTGTAGGGATTTTTAAAATGCTTATGTTTATAATTTTGCTTTACAAAGGAAAATTTAAGAGCAAAACCGAGAACATAAATAAATTAAATAAATCTAAAACGTTTCTGAAATAAAGGATTGTCATTTATAATTAAGGACATAGGACCACTGTAGTTAAAAAGTATAGTAAATGAATTTTGTCTTAATTGCATAAAACGCTTCTTGTTTAATAAACTACAATTATGCAGATCGTGGTCTGTAGATAATGTATGGCTGTGGTCAGAAGTGATCCTGGCAATGTCACCTCATATTAGCTAAAACTAAGCCTAGACTTTCTCCACTGCAGCTGATAAAGAAAGGGTTTTCCCTCCTTAATTTCTGCTACTTGGCAGAAAACAGAGGTGAAGAAAGGACAAGAGAGCCTGAAGTACAATAGAACATGTACCAGAAGAGCCTGATGGGACCCAAGCCAAATACAAGTGGTGCATTAGGGAGAGCGTCAAGACTTGTGGACTATTCCAAGGGAAAACAAGCCTCTCTTCAAACTCTTGAGAGAAATGCCTTGGGGTTGAAAGGAAAAGCTGAGCCAAGGCTGGCATCAACATCTGGCACCTTTAGGAACCTGCCAAGGTTTGGATGGGGTGTACTATGCCTATTTCAGGAAGAGTGCCAGATCTTTTTCATCTCCCCCCCTCTCCCGAGTTTCTGACCCAGGGGAATATTACAGAAGTAAGAATCACTTTGAAAGCCTGAAGTTCTCCTGCATGCTAAGCTTTCTGTTCATCACCAACCAACTAGAATATAGTTAAGTAACCCAGTAGCATGCAAGTTTTCTGCAATACATGCTTAACAAAGATGTAAATTTTAGCAAAAGGTAGAACAAAAGAACAATACTTCCTCAAATCAAGCCAGCACATGGCAGCAAAAGCATGCCATCAGAAGACAGCCAAAGCAATTCAGAAGGAAACAAAGTCTGTGAAGGAAGCTCCACAGAAACTGACACGTCTCTCTTTAATAGTACTACTTAAGCTACTAAAGCAGAGAATGCTGACCCTGATAGGCAAGAAATTGCAAATCAGCCCGACTTCCATTTAGCGTAATGTACTGTAACTGTCCACAAGCTGATGTGCTCCTGAACTCCCAAAATTTCTAATGAACATGGCAAATAGGTAGAAATTAAGGGTAATAAATAGAGCACATCTGATGGGGATAGATTGGTGCCGTGTCCGCACTAAGGAGGGAGAAGAGCCACAATATAAATTCTCGGGAATCATCATTCTTGCACTCTGTTTACCAGATGAGTTTACCTGTAGAAAACAGGTATAATTTTGATTGGTTAGAGCAACATTGCCATGCAATTCTTACTTACGTATAATTGGCCTCTTCTGGAGCTGGGAAGGACTCCTTAGGCCAGTTGACCATGCAGTTGAGGAAGATGAGGCAAGCCAGGCCTGACCAGACAAGCATGATAACGATGAAGGAAACTCCTGCATCATAGATCAGCTAATAGCAATAGGACAAGAGGCAAAATAAATGTGAGAAATGGTAGAAAAGCCACAGAAAAAGGATGGGATGGCTTTGGACATTCCAGTAAGTAGTCATAGAAGAGGCTGATGAATTCTCTAATATCCAAACAGAAAGCAATTCCTGTGGATTCTGTGCACACAGTTGAAAATGTGAATCCATCTCTTCACCTAAGCTTGGGAAGCAATGACAGATGTTGTCTATGGAGATTCTCAAAATCATCCAGGTTATGGTTGTTCCAAAGGTGTTTTTCCAAAGACAATTTGACATTCTTGGTTTTTCTCTTGAAAACATTTTGCTTCTCACCCTCAGAACTGAAGAAGCTTCTTGGATAAGAAACAAAATGTTTTCAAGGGAAAAAAAAACAAGGAAGTCCAGTTGCCTTTTGAAAAGCACCTTTGGAAGGACTGATGAGTTGTCAATCAGGCCTGCTTTTACTCTCCCTTCCTCTTCCCAGTGGTAGAACTTTTGCTGGTAGACCACACATCTGAATTCCTCAAGTGTCTCTCTCAGCCTATTGAATGTCTCATCAGCCAAGAAAGAAACATGCAGATATACAACCCACAGCTGCCTTTGACTCTCCAGATCAGGAATTTGGGATTAGGACATTCTTTGCTGCATCATCCTGTTCTACTACATACCTTAACTCCAGGAAAAGTAACAGCAGAAGAAGCATAAGAGCCAATCAAGAGTGCCATGAAAGTAGAACGCAAGTTTCCAAACATGTTGGGCAGCTAAAGAGATACAAAAAGAAGCAACAATAAACAGAAATATATCCCCTAGTCTGGACCTTTCAAATTATTCTCTTTTATTTGGAGTCTTTTATTTTCTGTAGACTATAACCCTAACCCTAACCCAAAAAGCTGGATCCTTCTTTATTTTCCATATTCTCTTCTAAATCATTCCCACTTCTTCTAAATTCTAATTTTCCATCAAAGATACATATTCAAACTACATGTATTATCACTTCCTAACAATTTACAGTCCAAAGCTTCACTTGTGTACTCAGAAGCCAAGACCCAATGAACTAAGCGGCCTAGAATAGTAGCATTAACTAATATAATGTTTATTTTAAAATTATATACTACTTCCTTAAAAATTTCAAAGCATAAAAACCAGGAATTAAAACAATAACATGTTGTTTAAAGCATATTGTACATTAAAATGTTATAGGTACTTTTCAGACTCTATAACAAAATTGTAAGAAAGGTAGCAATAGAAGATCTAAAAATCACAGCAACATTATAATTAAAGGACTGGGGAAAACAAAAATATATTTGCCTGGCACTAAAGACTAAAATTAGCATCTTGAAGTGGAAATAAACTGCATGACCATGGAGATCATAAAGAACTGGCATGATGTATTCACATTGACCAATTCTTTTCAATACTCTTGCTACCAGAGTTCTGTGCTAAGTGAAGCTGCTGAGCTGTCTCAGGGTAGCCTCACATACATCCCATTACAACAAGAAATATGTAGAAATATTGTTTTGAAGCTACTGTACGTCTATCCAGTTAGGGCCGTAGCTACAGTACCATATCAGCCTAAACTGATAAAGGAACTCCATGCCATAAAGGCTACCTGGGCCTCTACATTCATTTATGGATCTGCAAATAGCCTTTTGCTATGAACCTGATCCTTTAAGGCACATGAAAAGACCATTCAGAACAGACTCTGGGCACAAACGTCACTAACAGCATGCTGTCGTTTCTGAATGGAGCTTCAATCTGTTGCTCTTGGTCATCCAGTCCATTACCAAATGAAGTTCCTGGTTCCACGTAGGTATTGACCAACATGGAGGATACACTGGAACCTGTGAAGCCCCACAAAGGTCAGTCAGAAGTCCTCCATTATCATCTTTTGCAGCCATCCATCCATCCAAAATGAGGAGAACCACATCAAGGCTATTCTACCTTCTACAGTTAAGCTGTTTAGTTGTCTCCAGAAAGATTCCATGGGTGATAGTCAGCTGCTGAAAGAAGCTGGGGAATCAATGAAGTTTCACTCCTCCATCTTCTCCAGGCAAAGATTATCAAGGCAGTTTCCATGTCAAAACCCCTAAACCTTATTGAAGTGGATCTAGTAAATTCATCCATCAGCATCTCCAACTGATCAGCTATTATCCTTGTTCAGGAAGGGAATGCTGGCCACTGGCCTAAAAATTATTTAGATCTTCTAGTCATTGATATTATTCCCAGAAATGGGCTCACTACACCTTCCTTTAATGAGATTAGGATCACTTATGTAAGCAGGATTTATAACTTCCAGACCAAGCTGAGCATGTCATTCTTGCCGAATACAATAAGCCATAAAGGATAACAGGCAAACAGATGTAGGGCTAGCTCAAACACTCAAACAGTGTTAGAAGGCCCTAAAAATAAAATATCCAAAGAAATCTAATGAAAACCGAGCCCTGAAAACATCTAGAAATTGGTCTGAAGCTGCAGAGTCTAAATTATGATTGTGATCAATAGTTAACGTGACACAGCTAGTCATCGAGGATTATGATCTGCATTCAGCTGGATCCCAAACAACTCTCACCTATTCAGAAAAACTGTGCTGGATGACACTGGGAAGAGATGCAATGGCGGAAGAGAAACTGCTTTCTGCTTCCATCACCACCACAAAGTACGTTTGATAATGAGCTCTTATGTTTAATCAGATTCAGGATGGGCTTTTATCTCTACTTGTGTATTAGTCATCTCCTGACTTGCCCTCATGTGTATCAAGGGATTGTACAGGCTGTATGACATGGGAGAAAATGTTCAAGGGGTAATAATCAATCTCTATATTCCAGAGGAGGCCAAACTATCAACAGAAACATGAACTGCACTAGTCGAAAAATCAACCTCCTGGAAAGTGGGGGAGGGGTGGGGCAGACCACTCTAACAGGTTAGCCACTTCTGCAGAGAAGAAGAGTCTCAATAAGCAGATGTAAGGCAAGAGAGCAGATGTAAAGGAGGTATCACCATCCTTCTGCCCAGTTGAAATACAAAAAACAAACCCCAATCCCTGAAGTCCAGCACAGGCCAGGAAATCCAGGGATGAACATTAAAGCATCCCAGGAGTCTTCAAAATTAAGCCCTAAACTATCACTCGGATTGAGAGGCTGTTGGATTATGCAAGGGTGATATTAACAGGTAGCCCTCAATTTATAATCATAATGGAGCCCAAATTTTCCATTGCTAAATGAGACAGCTAAGTGTCCCCATTTTACTTTTCTTGCCACATTTGTTAAGTGAATCCCTGCAGTTTCCAACTGTTCAGCACAGTTATTAAGTGTATTTGGCTTCCCCATTGACTTTGCTTGTCAGAAGGTCACAAAACCTGATCACAGGATCCCGGGACACTGCAACCCTCATAAATATGAACCAATTGCCAGGTACCCAAATTTTGACCTCATGACCATGGGGATGCTGCAATGGTCGTAAGTGTGAAAAAGGGTCATAAGTCACTTTTTTCAATGCTGCTGTAACTTTGAAAGGCCACTTCAAAGACAAATGGTTGCGAGTCAAGGACTACCTGTACTATCAGTTTTAAGCAGCGGTGAAATGTAAAATTTGTTACTACCGGTTCTGTGGGCATGGCTTGGTGGTGGAGTAGGCATGGCCATTTTTTTTTTTTTTACTTTTAAAACCATTTTTTCTACAACCTCTTTGGCTGAAGAGGTTGTTAAAAAAATGCTTTTAAAGCCTCTGACGATCCCAGCTGACTTGCCTGATTTGCAGAGGCTTTTTTTCCCTTTAAAAACATTTTTTCTATAACCTCTTTGGCTGAAGAGGTTGTAGAAAAAATGCTTTTAAAAGCCTCTGATGATCCCAGCTGAGCTGCGCGATCATCAGAGGCTCTTTTTTTTTTTTTTTTTTACTTTTAAAAGCATTTTTTCGGCCAACGAGGTTGTAGAAAAAATGCTTTAAAAAAAAAAGCTTCTGATGATTACGCAGCTCAGCTGGGCAATGGGGGGGACAGGGATTTTTGCTACTGGTTCTCCAAACCACCCACCTCCATCGCTACCGGATCGGGCTATCGGGTCCGAACCGGGAGTATTTCACCCCTGGTTTAAGCTCATTTCTTTTCCTCTAGAACAGCTCTAAGGAAGGCATGGTGCCAAACCTAACATTGGATTTGGGTAAACAATGAAGCAGAGAACGGCTCCTTCTCCAGTTCCCTAACATATGCCTCTATCCAAGGCAAAGGGAAAGGTGTGGCACTTTATTCTGCCTGCTCATTGGCTGATACTCCCCATCTGTGCCCTGCGAGTGTTTTTCTGCCTATTCCAAAAGATGCATTGATCTCCTAGTGAAGCAGGTATAATCCTTGTATGTTTTGAGATAGCAATGTCTTTCTTACACATTTTGCAATGGGATAGAGCAGAGGGCTTGGAAGAGCTGTTGGTCAGGTCACCTTGATAAGCAAACAGGGAGAGAGAAGTTCCTGCCAAGGTCATAATCCTTACTCTTTCAACATGGGCTTTGCAGAGCCTGAAGTGACCAGAGCCACCCTGTGCCTTTATAAATGGTGAACAGCAGGAAATTCCAACAGATACAGACCTTTGAGCCCTAGCCACTAATCCAGAGGTCTTCAAACTTGGCAGCTTTAAGACTTGTGGACTTCAACTCCCAGAATTCTCCAGCCAGCATAGCTATGCTATACATCATCTATCTATGAAGCTTTGCAAAGAAGCAGCATACTGAACAGGGAACATTATTCTCTTGTGCTTGTAGGTGTGCAGTTTATTTTGGCTTTAGTTAGAAAGAATCACCCTTATATACTTCCACAAATCTTAAAGCTGCCAAGTTTGAAGACCTCTGCACTAATCTCTCTTTGGTATGTCTCTTAAAGGCACAGGTATCTTTGGTCACCCAAATTTCACAGTATTGTCTCATAAAACATGGCATTCAAGGAATCTCATGCAGGAGAAGAGCTCATGATACTCTACCAGAGTGACATACACCACACAACCCATACAGCTTATACCACATATACACACAGCCCAACAAGGAAGATTTAGAAACACACGTAACACACACAGAGAGCAAAATGTTTAAATCTGTATGTTTGCATTCTACCATTTGTTATACAAGGGTTAAAATTGCTAAATTTTACAACTACAGATATTTAAATTCACTTATCTCTGTAAATTACTTAAATTATATGAGCACAGAGAAATGCTAATGAGAGACAGTAGGGCTGAGAGATTTAACATTAAAAAATCTCAGAGGCACGTGGGTGTTAACTGTAATTCAAAAGGATAATATTCAGATTTTAATGCTTTTATCCTATAACATTTTGTTTTGCTTTGGATTTACCTCTAGCAAATAAAGGAAAAAATGTTGATAGAGGATCCCATAAATGGATAATGGTCAGAACAGAAAGAGAGAAATCCAGCATGTTAGGAAATACTAGACATTCCCTCCTTCCCTCCATTCCCCTTCCTCCCTTCCCTCCCTGTCATCGGAGTGCACAACATATATTGTGTGGTGGGGAAGACACTCAAAGGGGGTGGTGCAAATCATGGAAGGCACTCAGAGGATGGCACAGACCCATGGGAGGATTGGCATGGACCAGGGGTGAAATCCAGCAGGTTTTGACAGGTTCTGGAGAACAGGTAGTGGAAATTTTGAGTAGTTTGGAGAACCGGCAAATACCACCTCTGGCTGGTCCCAGAGTGGGGTGGGAATGGAGATTTTGCAGTATCCTTCCCCTGGAGTGGGGTGGAAATGGAGATGTTGC